AGACCAGACCCCAATCATTAAAGACTTTCTAGACTATTACATCTGGACTATCGTAACTAATGTTTGAAGACTAGGTGACATGGCTCAGAATCGATCACTATGACGTCGGTGTATACACTCTTTGTCTTCCCTTAAACTAAGAAATTAAAATCATTTTATACCTTTCTTTCTAATTCTCTCTTCCTGTACTATATCCTTATACACAATCTTTATTTTATGTATTACTGCAATTGAAGTAACTACTCCTATGAATTTGATGTTCATCTTGTTGTGTTAATGAGTTATGGCAACTTGGACCGATGCATATATGTGCCTGGTACTACGTTGTAGCTGACTGACTGACATCTGGACCTGCTGCTTTACTCCACTTTAGATAAACCATATATTCTCAACTTTATTACTATTCAGATGACTTGTGTTGACATTCCATTGAATTTGCTTGGTAACAGTTAAAAACTGGATGGTAGTTGAAAACCAGTTAACGTGTTCTTCAAAGTGTTTTACACATCGTTTTAGTCTACTGGGTTGAGAGTGGATTACTGCCCTATCTTTGTCAGAAATAGTCTAACTTATAACCTTTTTAATACCAATCTACTTGAATGCCTGAAAAGTAGTCTATCATTGTCCATTGAGCTGCTTTTATAATCTCTCTTGCTTTCACTGACCAATACTGGTTACGATCATTGCATAGACATGTCAGTTTATGTCTATGTTGTCTTCGCTCCGCATTGTGTTCCAAACCTGATAGGAAGAGTTTTTGAGCATCTATCAATTCAGTAGATAGTATCAAAGTCCATCAATATTTCTAGATCTTTTGGTTCAAATCACTGGTAGATAATACAGTTGTTTTCACAGCTCTCTGAATATCGTGCCAGTCTACATTAGGGTTATCATTGCTTTTATGATTGTCTAACTGCTTCTCTAGTATTTCCGGTAATAGATTTTTGACATCTTGTAGAAATGCTGAACACTAATACGTTTTCTTGTTGCAGCTTTCTTGACTTCAGTAAAGCTCAATTTGAAGCATTATCGAATTGAAAACAGCGCAGCAGTTCGTTCCGTCCTACTTTATGGCAGTGAAACATGGCCGGGGTAAGAGTAGAGGATATTCGTAGGTTACTAGTATTCGATCATAGATGTCTTTGAAACAGTGCTCGTATATTCTGGGATCATCGAGTAAATAACTCAGTTGTTAGGAAACGGGTACTAGGTAAGGACGAAAAATCAATTGATGAAGTAGCGAAACTTCATCAGTTGAGATGGCTGGGGCACGTGTTACGTATGCCCAATCACCGACTGCCTCGACGTGCGATGTTCTATCTGATGTTTGTGCTGATAGGGAGTGAAGTAGTTGAGTGTGTCGACCGCTTCACTTATCTTGGAAGTCTCATCAGCCCTTGTGGTTTGGTGTGTGACGAAATCTCAGCACGGATACAGAAGGCTCGACTAGCTTTTGCCAACTTGCGTCATTTATGGCGTAGGCGAGATATCCGTCTATCAACCAAAGGACGTGTTTACTGCGCAGCAGTTCGTTCCGTCCTACTTTATGGCAGTGAAACATGGCCGGTAAGAGTAGAGGATATTCATAGGTTACTAGTATTCGATCATAGGTGTCTTCGAAACATTGCTCGTATATCATGGGACCATCGAGTAAGTAACACAGTTGTTAGGAAGCGGGTACTAGGTAAGGATGGCAAATCAATTGATGAAGTAGTGAAACTTCATCAGTTGAGATGGCTGGGACACGTGTTACGTATGCCCAACGACCGACTGCCTCGACGTGCTATGTTCAGTGGTATAGGAGTAGGTTGGAAGAAAGCTAGGGGCGGCCAAACCAAAACATGGCACAAGTCCATGAAGTCACTGACAAGTGAACTGAGTCATGTTGGTAGGTGTAGACTACCTGGTTGGGGACCGCGAGATGACAGCAACCGATGGTTAGAGACCCTGAATGACATGGCTCAAAATCGTTGGCAATGGCGCAGGTGCATCCACTCTCTGTGTTCTCCCAAACTAATCTTCTGAATTCTTCATGTCCCTTTTTCCCTCTTTCCAAATTTCTTTCACTGGATTATACTCTTTAAATAACATCTCCAAACCCTAATCTTCCCGATTACTGCTTATACTCTTGCTACCTCTACCACTACGGGATTTGAATCGACCACTGCATCTCTGTGCTAATGTGGTGTGGCAACTCGAACTGATGTACGTACGTACGAAGTTCTACGTTGTTACTGACTGACTGACTTGTGCTGATGACGTCGTTCAGAAGAACGATGAAAGCTCTACGAACAAACCATCCAGCTCAGAGAACAAAACTCCACCCAAAAAGATGTTCGATAGTGTAGGAGTAGGTTGGAAGAATGTTAGGGGCGGCCAGACCACAACATGGCACAAATCCATGAATTCACTGACAAGTGGATTGAGCTATGTTGATAGGTGTAGACTACCTGGTTGGGATCCGCGAGATGATAGCAACCGATGGTTAGAGACCCTGAATGACATGGCTCAAAATTGTCTGCAATGGAGCAGATTCATCCACTCTCAAGTTCTAATCTTCTGAGACCTTCATGTCCCTTCTTTTTCTCTTTCCAAATTTATTCCACTGTATTATACTTCTTGAATAACATCTCCAAACCCTAATCTTCCCGATTACTGCTTATACTTTTACTACCTCTACCACTATGGGATTTGAATCGACAAATGCATCTCTGTGCTAATGTGGTATGGTAACATGAACTGATGTACCTACGTGCGAAGTTCTGCGTTGTTACTGACTGACTGGCTCCAAAATGAACGACAGTCTTCTAACAATCTTTCCCGACGATAGGTGATGGTAATATGGTCTATTTGTGTCCATCGATCTGTCGATTTTGAGACTTACGATGTATCTTTGTATGCTCAAACTTAAAACTTACTAAGATCAAATAGTTATGTGCTAGGGTTACGCTCGACCCTTCAGTTTTCTAAGAACAGCAGAAAGCTCTATGCAAAACTCATATTTCGTTTAATCTGGACTGCAGCTATTTAAAATGTAGACAGAGAAGACGAAGAGGTGCCACCAAATATATCTAACTTTCTGTGCTCCTAATATCTCTTTTAGTCAGACAGCGTATAAGAGACTATCTATTGAGATGCAGTCCAGGTGAGTCTATTCTACTTTTGAATTAAGTGGGATGCACACTCCAGCGAGGAAACAGGAAGTAAAAGTCACGTCCAGAGATACACAGAGAATAAGCCACTCCAACCCTCCATTTTTACTACGTGACGTTCATTCAATGACCACACATGGGTTCCACAGGCATGTTTTGAAGCCACAGCACAAATTGATAGCATGAGATTCTGTAGTACCACCTAAAGAAACCTGATGTTCGATTAGACATACGGTTAGAACACTGAAACTCCATCATGTAGTCCAAAGCACAGTTCCTAAGAGCGATTTGTTAGCATTAGTGACGCATGGTGATAAAGACAGAGAAGAAAAGTTGGTAGTGGGGATTGAAGAAATATTAAAAAGTTACGGGGTTTGATTATGCAAAAGGTGGTCTCGAATGCTGTTAAAGATATAAGGGCAGTTGTCGCATTCGGGTTGTACACAGAGCGGAAGGATACTTTTTCTTATGGGCCTGAAAAATAAGCTGAATTAATAGTGACTATAGTGACCCGGGAGTGTAACCACAGAGCCCAGTCAGTCAGTCAGCTACAACGTAGTACCAGGCACATACGTGCATCGGTCCAGGTTGCCATACCTCATTAGCACAGCAAGATGAACACCGGATTCATAGGAGTGGTTAGGTCAAAGGTGGTAATATATAGGAGAAAGATTACATATAAGGATATAGTATAGGAAGAAAGAATTAGTTAGTAGAAGAAAAGATATGAAGTGATTTTAATCTCTTAGTTTAAGGGAAGACAGGGAGTGTATACACCTACGCCATTGTGATAGATTCTGAGCCATGTCACCCACAGTCTCCAACCATTGGTTACGATAGTCACGCGGACCCCAACCAAGTAGTCTGTTTCTACCAACATGGCTCAGAACAGAAGTTAGTGGCTTCAAGCACTAATGCCACGTTTTGGTTTGGCCGCCCCTAACTTTTTTCCAACCATCCTTAACATCGGTTAGCATTGCGCGTCGTGGTAATCGGTGTTCAGGCATACGCGACACGTGGCTCATGCGTCTCAGTCGATGAAGATTAACAACCTCATCAACTGATTTACCATCATCCCCTAATACCCTGTGTTTAACCTAACTATTACTTACCTGGTGATCCCAGCAGACGCCAGCAATATTTCCAAGGCATCTGTGGTCAAATACTAGTAGCTTACGAGTCTCTTCTACTCTTAAAGGCCATGTTTCGCAGCTGTAAAGTAAAACAGAACGGACTGCCGCGCAGTATACTCGTCCTTTTATTGATAGACGGATATCTCGCCTTCGCCATAGGTGACGTAAGGTGGCAAAAGCCAAGCGAGCTTTTCGAATCCGGGCTGAGATTTCGTCCGATACCAACCCATCAGGGCTGATCAGACTTCCAAGACCACAGAGCCCGAAGGACAACAGTTCGAGGTTAGTCGTGCACAAATGTTATTCAAGTTTCTGATGTATCGGCTCCATACTGTAAAAGAGTTACTTACAGAGACGAAAATCTGTCGGTAAGGTTAAATATAGGACCTTTAAGAGTGACCATTTATAACCCCTTGCTTCAATTTTAAAAGGCAGCAACGCCATACTGGTTATTTGGAAGAAACTTTACTTCTATACACTCAGCAGTATGACTTTGCCCTCGAAATTTAGGTTGATACATTTAGTCTTTAACTAACCTGCCTAGCATGACATGACCTAAAGGAGCAAGTGTTCCAGCGAATTTGGATTAATTAAGTTATCATAATAAACAAGCTAAACCACCACGTCATTGTAGCAACTACGACTGATAACTGAAAAATGACATGGGGTTAAAAATGCCTGGTTCATTTTGAACAATAATAAATTAATGAATTACCTGAATTGTGAATCCATTTTTTAGAAAAGAACCAGGTGATTGTAACCAAACTTCTGTAAATCCACCTTGTACATTTTTCTTTACCCAAATCGATTTGAATTTATAACCATCTACTTGTCGATTACTACGTCTTGAATTTGTTTGTGGAATGCTTGAACTATCGAGATTGGACCCAGATGTAGAACTCAAATTATTACATGAACTTTGATTAGGCTAAACATAAAAAATCGAAAGTCGATGAAATGGGAAAAAGATTATTATTTTTTCACAGGATGAGAGAACAATCTGAGAATATTTTTTAACTAATATAACTCAGTTTACTGGATGGAACTACGTTTTTCCAAGTTTACAATCATCTCGTTTAGTATACCATTAATGTTACTACTATCATTAAGATTGTTTTGCATATTATTTGAATGTTAAAATAACATAAATGGTGATCGACTAAACAACCAAAGCGAAACACAATACATTCGAGTGAGAACTGATCGTGAATGCTACCCTACTCAGTCAGTCAGCTAAAACGTAGGACCAGGCACATATATGCATCGGTCCAGGTTGCCAGATGTTGCTTGGAAAGATATAAAAACAGCTGTGGAAACAGCAATGAAATCTATTAGTGACTTAAACCACAGAGTTACAAAGAACCAGTGGATTTCTTCAAAGTCTATTGCACTGATGGATTCTCGCAAACTCGTCCCATCAGACTCTGAACACGATGAAGAGCGAAAACAAATCAGATCTAGATTAAGCAAAAGTATAAGGAACGACCGTGAGCAGTGGTGGGCAACGAAAGCAAAAGAGATGGAAAAGGCGGCGGCTATAGGGAACACAAGACAGCTCTACAGACTAATAAAAGAAACTGGAATTAATAAGTCAAGTGTAAGTCAGACTATTTCGGAAAAAGACGACACTCTCATCTGCTCCCAGTCCAGACGTTTAGAACGGTGGGCGGGACATTTTAGAGAACAGTTCAGCTGGCCTTCAGCTACTCTACAACTACCCTCCATTCCCAGACAGTGTGAATGGAACATTGAAGTAGGTCCCCCAACTCTAGCTGAAGTTCAAGAGGCTATGGTTAATCTGAAACGAGGAAGGGCAGCTGGTCCAGATGGATTAGCTCCAGAGGTCTTTAAGGATGGTGGTCCAATTTTAGCGATTAGGTTTACTAATATTTTAGCTAAAATCTGGGAGTTAGACGTTATTCCATCTGACTGGTCCCAATCACTTATCATCCCAATATATAAGAAAGGGTCAAAATCATCCTGTGACAACCACAGAGGGATTAGTTTAACTAATATAATATCTAAAATACTAGCCTCGATAATGATCGGACGCCTAACTAAGACTCGTGAACTGCAAACACGAGAAAATCAGGCTGGCTTCAGATCTGGTCGTGGTCGCATCGATCAAATAGTCACCATTCATCAGGTTCTCGAACACAGGCATACTTATCGGCGTCCGACAATGGTGGTCTTTCTTGACTTAGAAGCGGCATTTGACTCTGTGAAGCGAGAGGTGCTGTGGCAGTGTCTGTCATTGAATGGCGTACCTCAGAATTACATAAACCTTGTGAAGACTCTTCACTCGAACACTACTAGTCGAGTCAGAGCTTATGGCGAACTGTCATCTACTTTTGCAACCTCAAGTGGTGTCCGTCAATGCTGTCCACTTTCTCCATTTCTGTTTAACTTCATCACAGACCTACTGATGGAAATAACATTCTCATCGACTGAATTCTCGGTTATTGATCTCCAACCAGGAGGTCCACTTATTGACTTAGAATACGCAGATGATATAGTCCTGTTTGGTGAAGACGATGACAAAATGCAGTCTTTTGTTAGCACTAAGCAACAATGCCAGAATGTTTGGAATGCGCTTTTTTCCCTCTAAATGCAAGTTGTTGCTTCAGGACTGGCCTACTGAATTGTAATAATTGTGAATATAGGAAACTGGAAGAAATTATCTTAATAAAAACAACAATTTCTACAGACCTATACTGATCATTGTCATGTGCTCATTAGTGAATAGTGTAGAAAGGTAGTTCTAGAAGTTTAACCATGTCGGCCGTGAGGCAGTTACCAACCGAAGACGGTCGCACAACATGAGATCATAAATGCGCTCTTCTGATGAGTCCCACATTAGAACAGGATGACCCCCAATGCTTTCAGTTTTTCAATGGCGGTCTAACATTGATTGGTTCATGACCACAACAAAGAATATAGTTCCGCGGAAAACTTTAATTTAGATCATGTCACTTACTTAAACCGCAACATTGTATTAAAATTTACTTTTAAAAATGGTAGTCAGAAATAAAACAGATGGTGTTGAGTCATTTAACGAAAGTGTTGTACATAATCAAGTACTGAATATAATGGTTTATAACAACTAGAGAGGCGCTGCATCACTTAAAAAGTAATAAAGACTAATAAATGTTTTGAAGTATTGAGTGAGTTGAAGCTAATATGAAATGATATTTTTACAAGAAATGAATGTGTTTGATGACTGAGCTATTAACTAACTTGGATACCCCTTTAGACAAAAATGGATAGTGCTCGGATTTGCGTTTGGTAAGTGCATGCTTTGAACAATCTATATTGCCGGATCCATAATAGCAAGTAAGCCAATAGATACACAGTGAGATGACCCAAAATGCCAATTTATCCTAGACACATCTACAAATGAGGTGTTTACTAGAGGGAAAAGTTCGGAGCTTCACTAAGTTGGTTTAGCTCATAAACCTTGATAATCTGTTGTGCAATATTCCTGTTGTCGCATCCCCTTTGAATTTGGCAGTCATAAATAAAATTTTCAAAACTGTGAATTTACTTTCAGCTGACGTTTTGGCTTCAGATTACTATCAATAAACCTGTGGAGAACCATCGAAGTAGAGATTTTTGATAGGTTTTAACGAATTCAAAATTGACCGGGTCATTTGTCTAGTCTCAAAGATATTGGATTAGATTTCACTTCCTATTCAATGACTTAGCACGTTAACTACATTTTATCGATTATAAGAAATAGTCAGATCTGTATCAATGAAGAAATAATATACTTTGAGGAATAAAGTGCAATGATGTTTTATTTCACAGGCTTTCACTAATAATGGGCAGTTTAAAGTATCTAAAGTCCGTTTACAAATTTACAAGTGCAAACCATGTACACTATGGGAACAAAGAGAGAGAATTACACTCACTCTTTTAAATACGTTTCACAGTCAAAAATTAAATTTTCAATAGACTATATATGTGCAATCTCAACTCTTTACTGACTCTAAAATCATGGACAAAATACTTCAATCTTCTTTGTTTTGTTTAGTTCATTCATACCAAACGAATCATCTTTAATGTTTGTGAGTATAAAACGACAGAGTTCAAATTATCTCAATAGCTTATCCATCCATACGTTTTTAGTTTATATCAATTACAAATGTCGCACATAAGACTCATTCGTATACAAATTAAGATTTAGAATATTCATTATACATACGTTCAAACAAGTGGAATGTTTTAATTGTGAAAGATATTTACATCCGAAATAACCATGTATTACAAAAACAAAGTTGGTGTGTTATGTGGGATGGTATTTGAATAAAAAATAGTTTTACTGTCCAACCACTGTGATTTTCTATCCTTAAATAAACTCTTGTCTTTTATGATAAATATTACGGAGATAAAAAAAGAATTCTAATAGATTAAACGTAAGTTAGTTTCGAAATCATTTTTTAAAAGCCACTAAACATTAATGTCTGTAATAGATTCCAATCATAATAATTCATGTAAGTTAACTAACTTGCTCAGATCGATGAAATGGTAAGTTATTCATTCGACTTTCAAAAGTTGTTTCATTTAATGGACTAGCCGGAGGTACAATAAATATCTTGGTGCCTTGTTGAAGAATATCTGTATATTAAAAAATGGGGAACTTTAATGTCAAAAGAAGAGTAAAGTACTTAACAAATAATAGAATTCATTAACTTGGCCAATACATATTTGTGTACTCGGCTTTGTTTATGCGACAAATAGCGATATATTGGAGCAGAACAGCTCTTAAACCTACAAAAAGATAACTGAAAGTTACGATTTGATCACTAAGCCGTGAATTTACTTAGAAATGTTGGTAAGTGTTTGTGTATTTACCAAAAATATTTATTCAACTTTGCTTAGTCCATACTGCTGACTAACATAAGTAATTGTAAAACAATCACATCAATCAAACATAATTAATAGTCAGAGGAGGATGATTTAAACTATGAATGTTGATTTTTAATGCCATTTTGTGTTCAAAACATCAGCAGTGAAGCCTGGATCATTAATATAAGTTAGCTACCACAACCATCCTATGGTTGTTAAACCTTACGAACAGTGTTGATGAAAAATACTACAAGGATTCTTAAACAGAACGGTTCTTCTAAATATTTTCTTAATAAGAACGGGTAGAAGTATCTGCCTTTAAGAAGGGGCTATTTGCTATATACCGATGAGAATAATGATTGGCAACTGTCGGGATCTATTTTGGGACTAATACTATACGTATATCTTCATCGTATAATTGTCAAATATCCAAACTATTCATATTCGTGTTCCTCTTATCATAAGCTTTATTTTGACCTATGAACTATTATTATACGATTTACCATTTTTGAGTTATGCCCAGTCTATCAATTACTGTCTCCCACATTCATAGCCACATTTAGCCAAATCTTGTACAAATGCTGTTTTCTATTTTGAGGTACGATGTGGTCTATTTGGTTGGTATATAAACCCAGTATGTTTGAAATAAATTATTCATATCGCAGAGGCTGAGATTAGTGTTCTGGACTTAACAGACAGGGTTAGGCAGAAAGAAGAACAGGTAAAGACTCTAGACTGCTCGTATGGGTTTTATGTGTCATTGGTCCGGTCGATAAATCACTGTTCTCTAATTGGCGGTATCATTACGTTATACATTAATAGGACACAGGGCACAAGTTATAACACTATTCAACCAACTTTTTGAACACAAATCAAGGGATCGATTACAAACTAACAGCTTTTAAACTGTAAACTCTTTTCAGTTCCAAATAATGGTAACGTTCAAAATTTACTTTTTGCATTCATTCCGTGAGATACAGTGAACTAATGTGTGAGTGTGACTAGACAACGTTCAAATCAATATTTTACCTAACACTAGAATATTGTGGAGAAATTATCCAAGATAGGAAAAAAAGAACTACATACTTGGTGGTGATTTAACACTCATTGAATAATCTCCTCCGTTAAGATGTATGGTATGATCCTGATTTACTTGTACATCATCCACAATAACAGAAGACTGATTGAAATAGATTTTTCCATTGATATCTGAATAACAAGAACAGTGCGTATTGGATTTTTCAGAAGCCACTGATCCATATGTTACAGATCTCCGACTAGAGCGCTGGTGAACATTGGTTGATGGATCAGTTCGTGCAATTTTAGATAAAGAATGGCTTGGTGACTCCACTGAATCCGGTCGTTTAGGCTCAGGTACAGCAGACGTCGTGCACTTGGGTCGTTTTCCATTCACTCCACCATTATATTTGGCTTTAATTTTGGCTGACAGAGATGCAGGTTTCTTTAGGTCCCCCCGAGCCACAACAAAAGGGTTGGAACGATAAGATATACCCTTGGCTGACTCAACACGGTGTAAGTGACCTCGTGTAACTAAGATGTCTAGAGAAGATAAAACGAGGCTTTCAGGAATACTATGGTGCTTTTGGCAAAGTGCCAGGACAATCTCTTGTACAGGGCGTCTTCTTAAGTTTTTCAGATGAACAACGATATTCATGACTTTTGATATGATAGAATCAGATATGAGAGATTGATCTTCACGTGATGGTAGGGATTCGGAAGCATCAACATCTAGTTCCGGCTTTGAAGTTGCACTAGTAGGCTGAACACGCTTTTTGGAAACCGGTTTAGAGGCAGTAGTAGGAAGAGATTTAGAGTTTGGTGAATTACTGCGGTGGAGAGATCTAGTGCTCTGAAACTCATGTGTGGGAGAAGCCTTTAGCATAATCGTAACAGATTTACGTGTTTGCCCGAGGATAGAATTTTCTTGGGTATCAGAGGTAGTGAAATTACCTACATTCTTATCTCCCTTCAGGAAGTTTTGAGAGACTTGCTGATTTGCAGATGCTGAATCATTTTGTTTACCAGCACCATCATTGGGCTGCAATTTGCGTTTGCTCGACTTGGAAGTATTACGGTTTGATTGGTCAGGAAGTGATCTTGATGTTTTTTGTAATCGTTGTGAAGTATCTCCGCAGTTATTTTTAGAAAGTCCGGCAACAGGAACTTTATCCATGTGAACTTTACAGTCATCTTCAGCCTGAATTGTATTAGGACTAGATAGTGAACCAGTTGAAGCACCAGAAACTTCACAGGGAACCCAACCATTATCTGGGTGTACCGTATGATCTGAACGGTCAAGTGTTTGGATGTTCAACAACGCACCTGGATCGCAGACTAATGGTGTTTGAGAAACACTGGACTCAGAACTCGGAAGGGATGACGAGTGGCCAGAATAAGTTCCCGGTTGTAACGAAAAGAAACTAGTCGAACTTAAGGCTACTGAACTTGGAGCAGAACGACGCGACGTTGGCCGTACAGTATTTCTCTTACCTAACTTAAAAGGAAGTGGAGGTGGTTGGCTTTTGGTAGACGAAATACTGCTCTTGTCTGCAGCTAAGTCGTCATCGCTATCTTTTTCTAATTTTACAGACATGTCATGAAATTCATCTGTTTGACACTTCAAAAGCTTACTACGAGAAACCAAGGGTAGAGAGTAACGCCTTTTTCCATGATGAAGTTTGCGGTAACGGATGTGAAAGTCTTGAATTAATGAAAGGCATGGTTCGCGAAGACTGGTGAAGGGTTCCCAAGAATCTTGCTCCGGAGGAAACCCCTTCCATCTAACCCGGTACTCCACGCGACCACGGCGAACTCGTCTGTCTATAATGCTCTCAACCTAAAAACGTAAAGTTCAAAGTTCAATTCACGAAAAGCAATGTAACATTAAGAGAATGAGACGCAATCATGAAACTACGTTATAACTACCAGCTACAAATCACCTTAAGCCTTGGAATTCACTTAAAATAGTATGCCAAAACAGTATCATACGAAATACTTTTAAAAATAACTAAATTCACATATCACTGTTTTATGAAGTCAGATATTTTGCTGCTTTAAGATGGAGGATCTTCAAACTAGCAACCACAGAACATTTTTATATCATATTTAATGACAATATTTTGGTGATGGCATGCTGACCTGGGCAAATTATTTATACCTAGACATTTGAGCACTCCAAATGTCAATTTAAAATTCCAATCAACTACGACGGGATTCTGAAAACTAATTTTCGAAACTGTAACCACCAGAGATAATCAATGACAAATAGATACCAACACCAAAGGACCTGGTGCAAATATGCATTGGTCTCACTTGTTGTATTTCAGAGCAACGGCAAATTAACGAACAGGTAAAACAACGATGGGTGAACGACTTTACCAGTAATAATGAAAACTAGAAAAATAATTAAGAGTTAAGAGAAAAAAATGAAGTGGACAGAACGAATATTGTACATTACTTTGAAAATTTGGCGCAGGAGACGGAATTAATGCGCCAGTATCAGTGAGTTATCACAAGCAAAAACTAGAAAACCTCCACATCTCCACATAGCTAAGCAGGGGTCTGAGTGTAGGGACAACAAAGCCAACAATCCCAGTTATAAATTTTAAGCCTCATCAAGACTTACCAGTTCCAACAATTAGTTCGCCCATAAATTCAGCATTACTTGATTATTTTATTATAAACGAGCAATGTTATGAAAAGACTAATCAGTAATCCAGGATTTAAGGATGTACTCTTTTCAAAAGTTGTCATAGATTCGCAGTTATGTGGAGCGGATATCTGTTCATGAAGATTATTTATTTATATGATTTCACTGGCGTGGGCCAACGTCTACGCTAACGATAAGCATTGAAGTGGTAGAGTGTAGTGACTACTTAACTCATCTTGGAGGTCTCAAAAGCCCTTGAAATGGATTCAGAAAGCTCGATTAGTCTTTGCCAACTTAAATCATCTCTCGCTTGCTCGAGATCTCCATTTGCTAACCAAAGGTCGAGTATGCTGCACATCAGCTTGCTCTATCTACTTTACGGTTGTGAAACGTGGTCTTTAAAGTAGGCGACTTATTCGTAAAACTGATGATTGTCAAAATCACGGAGTGGGTAGTGCTGAGATTAGACACAAAGAACTAGGTAAGCGTCCAAAGTTCGTTGATGGGATTTGAACATTCCTTAACTTGATTAGTTAAGACATACCATCTGAGATAGTCGTCTATTCTTAACAGATGGACTTACTAATATCTTACCCATAATCTTCTAATTGGACATAATGCCAATTGATTTCAACCACTGATCGTTCCAGTTAACAAGAACAAAATCCTCTTGTGTGATAACCACTAGAGTCCGTGGAGATCATACTCAAGAAAACCAGACTGTCTTTAGACCTTACAGTATTTGCGTATACCAAACAGTTGCTCCTCATCAAATTTTGGAATACAGACAAACCTACTGATTCCTAACCACAGTTCTATTTCTCGACCTTAAGGCAGCGTTTGATTCTGTTGGTTGCAAGATTTTATGGGACTGTCTGTCAATTAAAAGCTCACCACAGTACAGCATCATTGTGCAGACTGTATACTCGAATGCTACTGGTTGAGTCAGAGCTTATAGCAAACTGTCATTGGAAGTGCTAACATTTAGTGGCGCTTGTAAGTTTTCCAGTGTCCCTATTGTTGTCTAACCTCGTCATAGACATTCGTCTAGTGATAATGCTCTCATCGTTTAACGTTTCAGGGATTGATTTCTTACTGAGAATATCGCTTGCTAACTTAGAATACTTAAGTAACATAGTCTTGTTTTGATAGAAACTCTGAGAAAATGCAGTCTTCCAATCGTCTTGAGCAACAGTGTAAACACGTGTGGTTTGTAATTTGTTCCCTCTAAATTCGATATGTTGCTTCATGACTGGTTTGCGTTGACACTTAAATTAATGATAACGAGTAAAGTAGTTGATAATGTTCTACCCTAATATAAACATTGTGTTGTCATTCAAAAAACTGACTGACAACTAAAGATGAAGAGAAGTATCATACAATAAGAGTATGAATAATCTAGTGAGGTCGTTTTTACAAATGAGTGCTACTTTTACTGACAACACTATTTAAGCAGTAATAAATATCTAAAACAGATGAATTTTATGAACAACTAATTACTATCACTTTGACATAGTGTATCCGATGAATCATGTATATTCTATGTGTGTGTTTGTAGACTGTTCCATAAAGTGCATTAATTTTCAATTCTGGGAATGTTGCTTCATGACTGGTCTGCAGTAATACTTAAACTGATGATAGACAGTGTAGTCGAGTGCTTCTACTATTTCACTTGTCTTGGAAATATCACCAGCCATCCTAGTAATTAGAAATAGAAGTTTCCTCCGAAGCATTCCTCGCGCTTTTTCGGGCCACTTAGTGTGCAACCGTGATGTCAGACAAAGAGCTCTAGGTATAGGTGGCGAACCAGTTGACGAGATAGTGGACATCAATCAATTTAGGTAGTTTGGACATGTATTACGTGATCCCAGCCATCGTCCACCTCTACGTGCGACATTAGCTATTGTAGGAGTTTATTCGAGGAAATCTGTAGACGGCCAGACCAAAACGTAGGATCAGTCAGTAAAGTCACTTACTGTTGGAGTGAGGCATGTTAATGAGTGCAGTCTGAAAGGTTGGGGTCCACGCTATTCTCATGACCATTGATTAGAGTCGTAGAGGATAATCCCGAGTCGTTCGTCAGGGAACAAATGTACTCACTGCTGATCTTCGCACCTTAAGAATTTTAACTAGCTTTTAAATCCTTTGGTTCATGAATTTATTCATTTTCTTAAAATCATTTTGCCTATTCTTAATATTTTCAACCACCTACCAGGTTCTGCCATATGTACTACTGAGTGACTCAGATAAGAAACAACTTGGACTAACTAGTCTGACATATAGGCATAAGATATAAAACCACAGCCTATCTAGTCAGTAGTGGAGTGAGATACAAAATGAATATTCCACAACCAATGGAAGATATTTCAAGCACTGGCCGCGTAGTTCCTACCAAAACTAATTTCCACCAAAATAATAAAGTGCATGGTGAGCTAAACTTTTACGGCGAAAAAATTCCCATATGTTAAAAGTGGTTGACTGCTTAAATCTAGTGGGTTAAAGTCCATAAACACAATATACTTTAGGTAACATCGAAAGGACGTCGAGTAGCTAAAACGTAGTCAAACTTACAAGAAAAACTCTACCAATCTATTGAAACTCTATTCGGAAACATCTTAAGATCATCAAACCTTAAATCCTTTCAGAGAGTCAAAAAGCGGAGGTTACGCAGCTCTCCAAAGTCGCTGAGGTTATGTATCAAAGATTGGATTAAATTAAGTGTTAAACAAAAGCTCTTCAAAATTAAAACAGATATCCTTACTAGGTAAATATTGTGCTCCTCACTTTCTGACTGTTTCATACCACGTTAGTTAGAATTTTGATAAGCTACCTACTACAAGCGAAGGTTTTGAGAAGTGCGCGTAAAAGTCGGACTTATATTAGCGCATAGCCATGAACAGAAAGGGATAATCATTACATCCTGTTAACATGCTGTCTTTCTAGACTACTATAACTTGCTACGGTGTACATAGAAGGGAATACAACCATACTTACCATCATGTAAGGCACCGAATTTATGCTAGTAGCCGATCGTCTAAGTAATAAAATATCAAACAATATTATCAAGTTCAGTAAACCTCTCTGATCTTAAGCCTTGAGCCTCGAATTTAGACTGTATTTTAATTGATTAAACAGGTTTTTGAGAGGCTGTAGATATGTTGACCGTGACTACAGGTATCACGGATGAATAATCTCAAAATCAAATTGTTCAATGGATGCTATGTGAAGTGAAAAGTACTGTTTGTTTTAGTGAACTGAAAAAGGAAAGGGTGTACATCGAAGTATCGAATACAATAGTATACTTTACTCCGTTTGTTACCTAATGTATGCATCCTCTCTTTTAATGATCTAACATCTCTGGCTGTTTATTTCCAACGCTCATTTCAGGGAAGAACACGTGTAGGTTCAAGTTTCCATATCGTAAGTCTACTTGAATAGTAGTTTTTAGTACGTAGGAGCCATCATATTGTGTTATCGGACGCTCTTTTATCCTTTTTCATAGGCATTCCAAATAATTTGAGAATGAAAGGAACATCATTTTCGTAGCTTTTTAGCGAACATGTTAAAATCGCTATCTTTCCTTTTTAGCAGGTGGGGTCACAATGAATAAGGGATATAGCTAGAGTAGTTCATAAGAACTTGAAAGAAAATTGAAATCCGTTTGAAATTTCGCATGATAACTAGAGAATAATGACAGTGATATAGAATGGTAGGTGAATTTAACTACCAACGACTGTAATGATGAATATATCCCCCGAATAGGAAGTCCTGTAAACCTTTCAAATTGATCCGTACTTCATTCGTTTTACTGAGGAAATCCTATCTGAAGGCGCTGTGCCACGCATTCCCCCCGGATAACCATCTGGTATTCCATACCAGGCATCCCTCTTAGCAACTAGCCTGATCAGTTCAAGCACTTTTCGACATAAAGTATACCTTCGGAATGTGTCTTCAAGCCCCCTAAGTCCTAACTTCTCGTACGACTGAGTTTGGGATCCTCCGATTATTTAAGTGTTAATGACGAAAGTGTTTCCAAGCCCAGAATATCCGTGACAATTTTATGGTCATGAAATAGCTTTTCAAATACTGCTTTGTGTATCAGGTGTAAACGGTTTCGAGAGCTCAACCAAGACGTCATAATCAGAAAGCAGCAATAGAGAAACGAAATCAAGTGTACGATAAGCCCCGCCTATTAGCTTTGCACTCTTTGACGAATTATTGAGACAGATACTCGACATAACTAATATTATTTACTCTCCCTTAATTTCTGAGTAATCGAGAATGGTTTCTACATTCAGTTCTTTAGATATCACCAAACCTGCTAAACCCCTCCAAACTTATTACCAGAATAACACAGAAATCAGTTGTTTTCTTTATTAAAGAAATAATATTGGTCTGAAAGTGATTAGAGAGAATTGGAACTGTAACCTAGTCATCGAGGGGATGAGAAAAGTATCTCAAGTAAAGATCGAGATCTTCAGAAGTGAAGTATATGATTGACCGTGACCCTTTAATGAAAATATCTCGTGAGAATTACCCGAAACGTTATTAATATCGGAAGTATGGATTTGGAAACCTAATAACTATTGCAACTAATAAACGGAGAACCTGTTTTTTTGCACACTTCACCATTAATCAGAGACAAACACATGACTTAAGAGCTTCAGAATGTCTCGTTGCTCTAGTCCTTGCTCCGGAATCTAGTTTTCATATACCCATAATCCCACTTAGAACTGACTCCTCTGAAGTCTTATTTATGTAAAATACTTGAAGGAGGTCAGGTCTGTTTTTCGACTAAGGGATTGCGAAATCTGACTAAGATTTGAGCACAGCATATTGGAATGTATCAAGAGAAATAGTTATGAGACAAATGAAGCTGTTTTTAATCTGATGAAATAGAATGCGCTAAATCTGGGGCTTTCAATTCACGATCGTCGCATTCTAACTTTTCTGCCTTCGAAACGACTCATTTCATAAATTGTTAATTTTTCAATGAGCTATGAGCATCTTGTCAATTAATAAAATCGAACACTTATATGTTTAACACATTTTCCGCTCATAAAGCAAAGGTGTAAGCTACTCAAGTTACAAGTACGTTAGGGAAGGGAGGAAAACGGACACATATATATGTTGTCACCCTCATCCAGTCGTTCCGTGGTACATTGATATTTTCAGAAGACCGAACGACCCATCTAGGTCTTTCATATAAACTTATGGTGAAAAAACAATACATTAACAGTATAATTAATTATTTAACGTTGTCTTTAAACTCTCCGTGATAATACAATACCGTTTGTGTTCTTGGTTGTGTTATGTTGAAGTCATAGACTTTTCATAAGTAGTATCATTTCGTCATGTCGTGCTCCGAGATACGGAATGGCCAGTCGTGTACAGACCAAATCGCGGCAATACGGATTATTGTTGAACAATCAATGGAATGTAACTCATCACTATATATCAATTTCCTTGACTATGAGAAGGCATTTGACAGTGTGGATAGGAGAACTTCATGGAAACTTCCTAAACACTATGGGATACCTGAGAATAACAAACGAACTCTTGACAGGCCTGTAAATCTTCTGTAGGGTAGGTGTATTTACTCGAGTTGGACAAGGGCCTGTAACCTAAGTCACACCCTGCAATCGCTACTCGACCTGAACATTCATGTTATGGTGTAGGGTTGTGTTGGTGAGTAAACAGAACAGCTTAAATCCCACCAACGTGACATGGTTTATTAGTGAGAAAATATCAAAGGGAAACCAAGTATGGACATAATGCAGCATAGCCAGCGCCGTAAAGTCCAAGTGATTATTCTGCACTGACTACACTTGACCGTTTCAGTGTCTTGTGAATTGTCATTTGATATGTTCAAGAAAAAGATTACTGGACCTTTTATCTAGGGCTCAGAGACATTTCTCGGGTCCTTCAAACTAACCTCGTCCCTGCAGTTGAACTTGACACATCCAATGGTTGTATATGTTTAGATAATTAATATCTAGTATTTGCACTACAGGTTTAACATCATTGTTAACGGAATCCCGGTGGGTGGTTGCTTGTCGCTCTCGTCATAATATGTGACATCTATAAACCCTCAGCAACTCGGATTTCATCGAAGAATCCCTATTTTCAGCAACTTTTTGGTAGGAATATCATTCCTAAATCCTGAGCATTCATATTTTACAGGAGTAATGTATCCACTTCCTCCATTTTACCGAATGTTATAGTAACAGTTCCGTTAATGCTAGTTCGCAACGTTTTGAAGAGACTGTAACAGCTTAGGTTGATTGGATAAGAGTTGACCTCAAACGACTGAGCATATGTCAAAACAGTAGAGTTCAAGTATTCACTCACTTCCTTATTTTGTCTAGGCGTTATGTTTCCTATTATCTTATATTGAATGTTGAGGGGCTTTGTTTGTCTGAACGGTTGATCCCACGCCCCACTGTGACTATGCGAAGATCTAAATAAAGATCTATTCACTACAACTAGTCTGGTTTCTTCTATTAATAGCACGAGGGTTTCCTACAGGCGCGAACAGACTCTTGTCCCACACATAATACAAGTGTGTCTTGGAGTAGTAAATAAATGTTTGCACCCCACTTCATTCAAGTGAGTGACAACTACACTTACAGCAGGAAATGAATCACTGTACGTTACTGGTGGTGTAGAGATCCCCACGCGGCAGAATGTGTTTACCCGTGCTTGGACTATTAAGTAAGCATTCGACGATGTCATAAAAAAACGGTTGAGATCGCTTGCAGAAAGAGTCTGTGGCAACAAAATCGTAACGTTTGTCAAAACATGAGCCACAAAAATCTGCGAGAATCCTCTACCAGGACTCGACTAAGGCCTTTACAAGTGATTGATCTTCGAATGTTATTCAATACCATGTTTGTAAGTTACTTCTTTATGTTGACTGATTTCTTCCAAACAAATTGCATTGTGGTCACTAGTCTAACTGGTTAAACATTGCTTGTACTATGTTGGGATGCCAGGCAGCTGGAAATAGGCGACTGAATACCCTGGAACAATCGCCCGTGCTAGTTGAGAATTTTCGCCAAGGTGTGCCTGTTAACATAAGGAGAACAATGCTCTTTCTGGTCACCGCCCCAAATCCCACCACAATGCAAGTGATACCAATTGGCTTACGGTAGTGGCCACCTCGCGACTGGGGAGGGGTTGGTACTCGTAAAATTGGTCACCACAAAAAGGCCAACCAGATGCAAATACATTTCAGTCACGTAAGAAATCAGTCATTGCCCGGATAGATCAATGGTAAAGTCTGTCACTGTGAAAATGAGCGAAACAGGATGGTATCCACCAGGGAGAAACATCTCCTGTAGGAGTGCAGATACACCTCGCTGACGGTGCTTAAAAGCAAGGAAGGCACGCCCACAGTTTCTTGTCGACTGCTTCGAAAAAACATCTTACATGTCGAAATCCGGCGAAATGACGAATAATGCCCCTGAATTGGTTCCCCTATTGCATTATTATCCAATTGTTGGAAAACAGATGGAGAGCACCTCAGACTAGATGATTGATAGGTGTGTTTCAATAAACCGAAACGAGTACTGACAGTTATTTAATATCAACGTCAAAGAATATACCTCCAGCTTAAACCATGATGCAAACTTGTTTCAACAACTACGAATATAGTTTTAATTTGTGAGCACAACTTCTAGGGGTTCGGCCATCAAATCTTAAAAATATGACAACAGGAATAACCTATGTTGACATCCTATGTTGTACTGGACTGATTCAACTGTCATTTTCTTATATAAATTATCCAGTACTTTGTACGTTGCTTTTGAAAAAAAGGGAGTTTTTATTTTGAGGAACACCGGGTCACTTTGAAAAGTAAAAGTACTGG